ACATGAGCGAATTTCCCATTTGGATATCTAGAATTTAGAGCCAAAGAATTCTTATTAATATATCTGTGACAAGTGAAAGATGAATGGGACCAAATTTTAAAAGTTAAGTACATATAAATAGAGCTAAAAGGAACATGAAGTCATATAATTTAAAATTTTGTAATTTATATGCTCTTAGAGAGAACATAAAATAGCAGTTCAAATTTTGAATTAATTTGTCATTATCATTTTGGTTGGAAAGGAAACCACCAGTGCAAGGTTTTTTTCTTTATCAATTGGCTGGAGACCTCAAGAGCCAGACTTTCGGTTTGTTCTCTGAGATTTGTTTGTTTGTTCGTTTTCTGCCTCATATATCCCAGTCATGATGCTGAAAAAGCTGGCAGCATGGAAACACCAAGACTAAAGGTAAAATTAAGTCCCCAAAAAGCCTGCTGGCCTGACCTGTAGATTTCAGACTCAAGACTGCAACATCAACTCATTCTTGAATTTCTAGTCTACCTAGGCCTGCCCTACAATTTTTAGATTTGCTAGCCCCTAAAATGGCATGAACCAATGCCTTAAATCTCTCTCTCTGTCTCTCTTTCTCTGTCTCTCATATATATACACATGCATATAACCTATTAGTTCAGTTTCTCTGGAGAACCCTAATACAGCAGGTGTCTTGCTTTGGGCTGTTATATAACAAATTAGGATAATCTATGGTGGCTTAAACAATAAACATGTATTTCTCACAGTTCTGTAGGTTAGAAGAGATCAGAGTGCGAGCATGGCCAAGTTCTTGGTGAGGACCCTCTTCCTGGTCTACAAAGGGCCGTCTTCTTGCTCTGTCTTCACATGGTGGGAAAAGGGTAGACAGCTCTCTGGCCTCTTAAAAGGGCCCTAGTCCCCTTCACAAGGGCTCTCTTCTTATGACCTAACTACTTCCCAAAGACCCCACCTCCAGATACCATCATATTGAGGGGTAGATTTCAGTATACACATTTGGGTTGAGGAGGCACAAACATTTAGAGGAGGCATAAACATTTAGTCTCTGACATCAGATATAGTTTCTAAAGGGCACAATGGCTCCAGGGATAAGAATAACTGTTAGCTGATATATATCAAACACTGACTTTGAGAAAGCCACTCTACCTAACACCTTACCTCCATTTATCTAACTTAATCCTTGAGATTTAATGAGTTAACTATGATTAACATTTTATATAAGAGGAAATGAAAGCTTAGAGAAATTAGCTAACTTGTCCAAATGACAACTAGTAAGCAGAGGAGCTAAATTGGGTCTGTCTGATTCCATAGCCACAGCTTTTAGCCACTACCCTATATAGATCTATATATTAATATTTCCTTTTTCCTGGTCATGAGAGCTCCTGATGGATCCTAAAATATACTTTGACCCAAGTCAGCCTGAATGTTCTCTTTTGCTTAAAACAAAGAATTTAAAACACCCTCTCAACTGTGTGTTCCATTTTGGTAGAATTTTAGGTCATTTAAGTAGAGATCATGTCTTTTATTTTGTATTTCTGCCTAAATGGTTTTTATTACAATATTTTCAAATCACAGCCACTCAGTAGCCCTTCATTACTGAATAAAAACCCTTAAGGAGTGCATTTTTAAAGCAAATCTGTTTCTTCTTACAAATGAGACATCTTTTTTTTTTTTTTTACAAATAGTTTATTGTCAAATTAGTTTCCACATAACACCCAGTACTCATCCCCACAAGTGCCCTCTTCCATGCCCACCCCCCCTCCCCCCCACATCCATCAGTCCTCAGTTTTTGTCAGCATTCAAGAGTCTCTCATGGTTTGCCTCTCTCCCTTTCCCCCACCATTTCCCCCCTTCTCCCCCTTATTCCTCCGTCAAGTTCCTCCTAATCCTCCTATACGTGCAAACATGTGATATTTGTCCTTCTCTGCCTGACTTATTTCGCTCAGCATAACACCCTCAAGGTCCATCCATGTGGCTACACATGGCCAGATTTCATTGTTTCTCATTGCCGTGTAGTATTCCATGGTATAGATAAACCACA